GGCAGTAATGGGCTGCTGCAGAGTGTTGGGGCTTACAGTCAGCGCTGGAGTCTCGCTCTGGTTTGTTTTCCACTTCAGAGAGAGGCGGTGGGTTAACTGTACCTCCTCACATGATGGTCTTTAGTGAGACTCCTGAGAAGACTCCGACCTTCCTTTTACAACAGATGCACAAATGTAGTGACTCATATTGTGTTTCTTTCTGCTATTTTGTTTTTCATCTATTTCTGTTGATCTTCTTTTTTGATTATTCTGCTCCCCAGAGTTATCTTCTTGTGCTTTTTTCTAGTCATTTTGAGTTTTTGCCTTTCTTTGCAGTTGGTTTGTACGTGTTGTCGCCAATTCGCGTCTTTGTAACCTGTGCTTAGTGAACTCGTTCGGCAAGCCTTCCTAGTTTCATGGGATGAGATTTGCTCATAATAAATGAGTTCTTACTGATGAAAAGTTTCCACACTCCTAAAAAAAAACAGTAATTCATCTCTAGTGAGCCCTTTGCTCATCAATTCCAATCACACACGACCAAACTGAGCAAATAAAACAATATCAGTGTGTCCCGAGAGGTAGCCGAAGCAGGAAATACCTCCCCGGAAACAACCCTTATTTCAAAAAACAAACAAAAAAAAACCTTAGTATTTTGAACATTCAAAAGACTAAAATGGAAAAAAAAAGTAAAGGTTTTGAGCATATTTATGTAACATTTCAGTTACATCATTCAATGTTAAAGGACTAACACGTGTAAAACCAAGTAAGTTAGAGCTTTGTAACATTTATTTTGCTGTTTCTTCTTTATTGCACCATCAACAAACATTTGTTGATTTCCTGCTGCAGCTTAAATATCAGACTGTAGGCAGTTTTAATTTGTAGGACAGAACAGAATTCAAACAAAGAAGTAACTCAGAATAATGAGAGTACATAATACTTTCTGTCAAAGGCACAAAGATGAGCTGTTACGCTTAATTTTACCTTTTTAATCATTTTCCGTTTCTGTTCGTTCACTTCTTTATTCGCGTCCGAAACGGTCACGAGATCGTGACAAAGCACAACACGACCGCAGTTTTCTGAAAAGTAATTCTTTTATTAATATTTTACAATCCTTTATTCATGGTTATGTCATTATTTACTTTTTCAGCGCCACTTTGCAAGTGTCATTTTTCCATGCTGTCTGACGACAACAAAACAACAGGAAAAAAAAAAATTTAAAAAAACAACAAAAAGGAGAGGTTTGAAGAATGAGAGTCTATACAACACATTTGTCAAGGGGCAGAGAGAGATTCACATTTGGGCTCTCAGATTGACCTCTCATCCCTTCCGCTTGTCAAAATAAAAAAATAAAAATAAAAAAAAACAACCCAGTAAACAAACAGGTTAAAAGCAGGACTGTCAGTCAAGTGAATAAGTGTAGAGTTGTGTGTCTGTTTGTCTGGCGATAAAAAAAAACACCTGTTGGGAAGTTACCGACCTTTAAAAAGAACAGGAGTCCTCGTTCTCCTCTGGGTTTTTTAAAATGATTTCCCCCGATTTCATGAAAAAAAATAAAATACCACAAGTAATTCAACAAATACTAAATATAAAGATGGTTTCTCTTCCAGGTGCTGCTCCAAACATTGGAGGATATTTGTATTTGTTTCCTTAAAAAAAAAAAAAAAGAATAAAAAAAGCTTTTTGTGAAATGAAAAGGGCCGCTGTCGAGTAAAAGAGACGGAAAAGGAAGCGAAAATTAAAACAAATCTGTCAGGGGAAGATTACTCGGCTGTTGTTGTGCTGTGGCGACGGAGAGCTGCTGGCGGATACATTTCCTCATTAAATGGTCTATCAAATACTTCCTGAGAAATAAAGGAAATATCTACCTGGCATGAAGAGAGGAGGAAGGAGGAGGAGGAGGAGAAGGGGAGCTGTCTGGCTGAGACAGAGAGAGAGAGAGAGAGAAGGGGAGACTGAAGGAAAGGAAAAAAAAAAAGAGGAAGCGAGTGAGAAAAGTGTATTTTGGTTGTAAAAAAAAAAACAAAACAAAACAAAAGAAGCTGCCGTTCAGGGTGTGGGGAACGCCGTGACTCGGGCAGTGTGTGTGTTTTGTTGTGGGCTCGGTCGAAGCCTTCAGTGTGTAAACATGGAGCAGATAGAGCTGGAGGACAGAGGAGATGTGGGTAGCAGTGCTGGTGTTGCTCAGTTTGTGCTCTTCGGCACACAAAGAGGAGGAGGAGGAGGAGGAAGGAGAGGAAGGAAGGAGGGAGGCTGGTGGGAGACTTAACAAACTGTCCGTCCAGCTGCTGGCAGCATCCAACGCCCACGACGCTCACACCGATCGCTGCTGGAGCTCTGCGCCTTCCTCGCTCTCCTCCAGTTGCATCCAGTCGAGCAGACCGTTTTGTTTCGAAGCTGCTAGATATTCAGAGAAGAAACCAGCTGCAGCACATATCCAAAGTTTAGAGGAACAGTTTGTTGTTGAGATGTTTGGTACCACTTGAGTCTCGTGTAGCCAGAACATTCTGCACCACGCAACCATTTCAACCAATCACAAGTGCATTGGGAAGCGAAGGATGCGGCAACGTGTCCCCTCAAAATAATGACGGGTGGAATTGTTTTGGTAGAAAATTTGCATGCATGGAGGCGAGAACTGTCACTATAACGGATGATTCACCAAAATTAAACTAGCTGGGCTGCAAAATTTGGAATTTTCAGCGTGGTGGGTCGCTATAGTCGAGGGGATGTCGCTGATGGTAACACATAAATAACGGGAAAGCCGACGGTTGCCTATTGCTGGAGCTTCATCTCATCTGTTTAATTAGTGCTGAAGCCAAAGCGTAAAAAGAACAGTTTGTGGGTTTATGGGGAGTTGGGCTGATTTCTTGGCGGGGAGTCGTCATTATGAGGTTGCCAGAGAACCAGTAGAGACTCAGAGACCAGAAGCTTCCAGCCAAGAAACAGTCCAGCACACAACTCAACATAAAACCACAACTCAACATCTCAGCACAAACTAAACAGACAATATATAACAAGCTAGTAAGTGGTGCTGCTAAGCTGAGCGGCTGTTTCCGGTCACGCTTACTATCAGATAAAAGAGGTATCGATCCTCTCGTCTAACGCTCAGAGAGACAAATGTGTTTATAGATGTGAGCAGTGCAGTACAAAAGAGGTGATTGAATCTGGTTTAACCCTAATCAGGACACGTTTCAACAGCCTGCTGTGACTTTTTCCACCCAGAACGTTCTCTGACAAATGAAACTCTGTCTGGACAGATGTGAGCAGCTGGTTTTGCAGGCTCTGATTATCCACGTCCGCTGACAGCCCAACACAGTGGAGGTGATTGGAGTTTGGTATGTGCACGATAAAACAAAAAAAACGCTCACATGGAGCCCAACATGCTCCTACTGTGAAGTATTTAGTGACTGAGAGCAGAACGAAAACGGTTTCTGCTGTTAAACGAAGCTCCGGTCACCTCCACTGTTGGCTGACGTCAGAAATCCCTCAAAAACTACACAATGGACCAGATGTTACTGGAGGAAAATGAGGAAACAAAGGGCTTCTGGAGATAGTCTGGGGCTGTTTGTAAGAGAGCTGGAAGGCAGAATTTGAACAGAAAAAGTCTGAAAGGATTATCTAAGTTTGATCCTGTTTGCGTAAATCTGTGACGCAACACTGCCCACCAGGTAAAAGACAGCTACTACCAACACCTCGGCGGCTGCGTTGTCACACTCCTCCACCGCGGCTTGATGGGAGCGGGCAGGTCGGGGGGTATTTTTAGACGATGGTGGCTGGCGGATTCATGATTTCACCTCTTCACGAGAGCACAACAACAGGACCTCTGAAAGACGGTTAAGTGCGACAGAGAGAGGCCTGCGGTGCCACCTACGACCAGCCACAGCTGGCTGGCGCTTGTGTTTACCATACACCAGAGGCGCGTTTACAGGTCAGAGCGTCTGTTTCTAAGGCTCACCAGTGTTGAGGCGACAACGAGCCCTCGTTGTTGTAGTAGTAGCAGCAGCAGCAGCGGCAGCAGCAGGATGACAGCGATGTGTAGATGTTTCCCATCACGATTTAGCAGTTGAGTTCGTAAAGGTTGTTGCACATTTAAACTGTGGATGATTTCTTTAAAAAAAACATGTTCCTCCACCTAAATCTCATCTGTGCTGAGGTGTTTCAATTAACGTAGGACGTGTTTCAATTCAGATTTAGAACATCAAACCCATGTTTTGTTGCCTTGTTTCCACGTTCAATGGACACTTTAAATAAAGTACATGTCTAAAGTGAAATCTAATATGGCAGCTTTTTTAAAAAATAACTTTTAAAAGCTCATATTGTTTAGTTTCTGGTGATCTGAGCAAATGTTTTCCCTCTGAACCTAAAACATTTTGAGTGCATTTCACTGTAATATAAAGTCCTGCACCTCTATGGAAATCAGATGACCTGAATACCTGTATTTAAAAGGAATTTTTCACTTTACAATGATTGAAGATGAAGAATCTTCAAACAAGCTACTTTGGAATGGCATTCTACACAGTGTAGACATTTTACTTCTTATGTTTTTATTTTATTCCAACACTTGTCTCCTCTCTGCTCTGTCTAAACACAGTCACTAATATCTTCACCGAGGCAGTTTGTTAGTTTTGTACAGAATCTGGTCAGTGAAAAAGTTTTGCATTCGAGTAATTTTGTAAATCAGACATGTAGAACTTCAGGATTAAATACGGCTAAATGGCCAACCCAATGTCATGTCGTATCATGTCCAAGGACCAGCAGAAAGTTCAAATCTCACTTCCTTTGGTTGTTGGAGTTTCCATGAAGACATTAGTGACTCTGCTGCGACCATCCGTCAGGAGAAGAGAAAAATTCATAGTTTTAGTAGAGTGGTATGTACGGAAATAAATTAAAAGTGTAAAAAGTTAAATATAGAATACACAGTCACCATATTATTTCCAGTATTTTAACGCCTGTGGGAACTTGCAAAAATGTTGCACATGTTGAATCCTGTTTTTTTTTTTTTAAATTTTAGGATTTCTGCACAGAATACGTTTCCGAGTTCTTCTAGTCATGGTTGTGCTGTTTTAATAGAGGTGCAGGACTTTATACTGCAGTGAAAATTAGCTACTAGTGAGTGAAAGTGTGGCAGGAACAAAAAAACCACAGAGATTGCTTGAAGTTCAGAGGCTTAAAAGGCAAAATTGACATTTTTCAGCTGATTCCTGCTCTGCTGCACCGCTGCATGCCACAAGTCTGGGAGATGCTACAGCACAGATTTAGGTTGAACTCTTCAGGTTTTCATGAGTCTGTTTAGAGTGAGGACAGAGCCTCTACTGTGTGATTAACCAGTTATCTTTGGTCCTCAAGGGGCTAATGTAAGCAACAGTTTTTAAAGCCAACAAAACAGGATAACACCAAAGGGCGGAAAGCACATGATAGTCTCATTATTATATGTGTGATTTTTCTCGTGTCTGGTTGTCAAGGTCGGGAAAAGATGGAAATAAAAGGCTGGATGATGGAGGGATAGATGAGGCGGAAGAGGAGGAGGGAGATGACAGGGTGGGAGGAGTTATCACTGCCGGAGGGGAGGATGGTAAGGCGGGGTTGGAGGGTCAGAAGGAGAGAAGGGTTTCAAATGTGTCTTAGCTAACCCCCCCCCCCCCTCCAGCCCGCACGTCTCTTTCCCCCAGCGAGCTGAGGTCAAATCCAGGAATGTCAGCAGGCGGATCACCCGTTCTTCACTCGTTGGCTTGTTCTCCGTCCGTCAGTCCATCCCTCTCTCACTTTCTCAGCCGTCCGTTCGTCTCTCTGCAGGTCACTGGAGGTCTCGGTCTTCTAGGTACCGGTACTCAAACGTGAACCCCTCCTTCTTCCGCTGGCCCCATTTCTCATAGTCAAAGTAAATGTATGTTCCCTGAAGAAGAACAAAGAAAAACACAGAAATCTAAAGTTTAAAGAGTCCATATGCAGCTTTTTTTTGGTTCCACCTTTCCTTCATTGTGTTATATGGCTGCTTGTAAAAAGTCTGCAAATTTATAAAGTCCACACCAAATGGAGTTATTCTCTGAATTCCCAACTCTCTGCCTGAAACACCTCATCTGAAGTCCCATGCCTTTCTATCATTACTTATCGACATCACCATGTAGCACATTTACACAATACCTGACCTGGGCCAGTTTTGCCCTCAAAGTAAAAAAAAAGATGAAGATGCACTGTAGCAATTCACAGTTTGAAAACAATAATGTGTTTTTGACTATAAAAGCATGTAATCATATTCTAGTACACTCCAGAAATGCAACTAGAAACTTATAAAGGAGCACAGGATGGGCTCTTTAAAGACAAATGGCTTCACTGCACCTCTTTTTGGAGCCAACCCTGTGGGTAAAAGGCAGGAACATATCCTTGACAATCACAGCTGATTCTCACCATCTCAAATCCTTCCATTAACACAGAAACAACGTCATAGTTACCCTGTAATAACAAGCTAACCCTGCAGCTCCCAATCTGCAGGCTCTTGTTTTCCTTTCTTGTATTTGGCGCAATCTGTATTATTTAATTTGTAATTGAACAAAGCAGTGATACTGTTTTGCTAATTCAAAAATGCATCAGGACTTGATCAGATCTCAGCAGACTTTATAACTACTCTACTTCAGATTTTAAACCATGCGTGTTTAATAGCTTTAGGTCCTCCGCTGTAAATCATTTATAATTTACACTGTTGCTGATGATTTTTTAATGGATGCTGTGCAGTTTTAGATTTTTTTAAATGTATTTTTTTCCTCCTGTTTCAGTCATTGGCTTCCATTCACAACTGCAGGGCAGAAAAGTCGTTCTTTAAATTTCCTGGAGTTGTGTCATTGATCACAATGAATAAATCTGTTAATTGTTGTCAATCTCACACTGACTGTTGCTGTATTTGAATCAAATTTAAAGCACAACCGAAGTAAGAGAACAATAAAACCAGAAGGAGAAAAGAAGTTCCGTCCATGTTGCGTTTTAATAAATGGACTTAAATCTTTCACTTTGTTTGTGTGATAGGAACTTGGTTTTCTTTTGGAGTTGTGCTACTTTGTTTATGTTGGAGCTTCCTCCTTTCACTCTAGAATTTTATATATTTTTTTTTTGTCTTTATTTAGAGCAGTAGAGACAGACAGGAAAGGGAGGAGAAGAATGGAGACAGACCTGCAGCAAAGAGTCGTGAGTGGGATTCAAACTCATGACCGCTGCATCGGGGAACTATAGCCCCTGTTCATGGGTCGCCCGCGCAACGAGGTGAGCTATATGGTCGCCCCTTCACTCTAGAATTTTACACTTAAACATGTAAACCTTTGTTTCCATTTAACTGTGATACACGACAGAACACAGTTTGTCAAAATGAAATAAACTCAAACACAATGGTCATTTTGCTTTTTTGAAAGAAGATTGAGTTGGTAGATGAAACTGATCGTACGCAGCAGCCCAGGTCTGCTCTGAATCATCTCATAACAAATACCATCAACTTCCCTCTAACAGCGCACATGTAATGACACACAACACAGGGTAGTTTTCAGGACATGCTCAGAGATTTCCAGAAATTAATGGAAACCAACAACAACAACAAAAAAAAAATGTTTTCAGATGTTTCAAACACAGCAGGGTGGTTTGCAAAATGGCGAGCTGAGATGTAAAGTGTGAGTAGTTTGTGGTGCCCAGACCAAAACATTTTAATGATCTTAAAAACTTTATCCACGAGATTCAAAGATGTGATGCTGCTGACCTGCTCAAACTCATCAGTGATGGTCTTGGGCTCTTCGTGCCTCTGAAACCACATCATGTACTTCGTGTGGAACCTCCATGACTGCTTCTTCAGGGCTTTGGCTGCCAGATACTGGGCCTTAGTGCCCTGCAGAGAGAGCAGGTAACAGGACAAAACAGAATAGAGGAAGAAGATAACAGATGAGGAGACAGGATCAATGACAAAGAGGAATGTTTTGATGCAGAAAAAATAGGCAGTTTTGGTTCTGGTGCAGACTTAAATGAACAACGTAACTCAAGAACTCCCAATAGAGTGTCTAAATGAATTGCTTTGGATCAAATCAAGACAAGCAGTGTAGAATTCTGTGGTTTAATCAACCTTATCAAAAAAATACACTGTTTAAGGCCTCCCTCTCTTTGATTTAGACAAAAAACTGGTGTTCACTGTTAACTTTTTAAGACTGTGGAAGAATTTTCTGCCTTCAAACTCACAAGATGGTCGGCAAATCACACACACATGTCCCACAAAATAAGTGCATTGTATTGGTGACATGATTCAGGCAGCAGCATACCTCCAGGTAGTAAAAGATGAAGAAGAGGGTTTCTGTAGAAAGCCTCTGGTAAAACTCTACAGTGTCGGAGTGGGGCGGTGGCACCTGGTGGTGGAAAGGCAGGGTGGGGCAGGGGTTCCTCATCAGGTACTGCCTGTTATATGGACACAGAGGGAGAGTTAGCGGGACACAAATGGAGCAAAAAGCTACTACAATAAAGGAGCACATGGTAAGGCAATAAGACTGTTTCAGGTGTGGCAAGTTGGAGCTAATCAATGGTTACGTGTTCTCTACAGTCTTGTATCAGAGCTGGAGAATGGTCTGCTGCATCTCATTACCATTAAGCTACAGATGAAAGACTTTCTAGCTTGTTTGTATTTCTTTAAACTAATCTCAGTGGTCTTTTGCGGAGCGAGTCCAGACTGCAGCGACAAAATCCTCTGCAGAACTTGAAATGTACAGTGTGTAGACAACAGGTACACCCAAATAGTAAAAGTGGAGAAGAAAGGCGTGTCAAATGTGTGTTGGGAAAAATGGCAGACTTCTATCCACAGCCTACATCTGGTGAGTCAGACACATCTTCTACTTATTTTTTTTAGATGATTTTTAATTTATGTGCAATGTGTGCCATGTTGGAAATACCTATTGAACACTATGTCAGACCATGAAGTAAAAAGTAATATGCATCACATATGTTTGGTGAGTCTGGCTTTAATATTAATAAAGGTTGATCAATTTGGAATTAAAAATCTGTTGTAAATCTTAAGATGTACATGTTTCAAATGTATTTTTTTTTGTTTGTTTTAAAAAAAAATCATCTAAATTTTGAGTATTTTATGTTAAATTTTGATGTGACAAGTTGCTATATTGTTTTGTCTTCTTTTAATGTTTTCATACTATTTCATTTCTTTTGCAAACTGATTTTACAAGTTTGTATACTGTCTTGCTTTCAAAAATGTGTTGCTGCCTGACTGAGAACATGTACGGCACTGTGGTTAATTCAGGTTGCTTTAAACATGCCACATAAATAAACTCGATTTGATTGGAAGTCATCCTTTGATTGAACACTTGATGGTACAACAGTGTTGCACTGAGCTGTGTTCGCAAGTAATGAATCTTTTTTTTTTATTTTTTATTTTTTTACAATTTATCATGTCACAAAAATCCACAATCTATTCACAATGATAAATTATAAACTTGGGCTGGGCGGCAGAGTTCAAAAGTTCATCTGGATAAAATTCTATATTTTAGTGTCTAACTTTTGATGACCTATTTTTTAATAAAGATCAGCAGGAAAAAAAAGGTTACATTTGAATTCAACCACTTTAGCCTATTTATTAACCACAGAGGGTATGTACGAATACGTTTAAGTGAAACTATTAAACCTTTTATCCATTGTTTTTCCTGTTGGTATTGATTAAGTGTCTTTTGCTGGGACATATTGTATATCGTTATTAAACAAAATCAGCAAACTAATCAATATGGAGTCCAATCAAGAGTTATGCTGTTAATTGTAGGAATTATTTACAAATCCCAAATATTCTCAGGGGGAATCAACAAATACTGAGCTAGCACATGAGCTAAAGTCCCGGAGTGACACGTTGACGCATGAAGTGCTCGTCACAGTGAGGATTTAGTTAAAACTGATTAGCACAGAATGGATGTGTAGAAAGATTCACCACCCTGATAGATTCACACAAAGTAGGAAAATTCAACAGTGGGTCAAACACTCTGCCCAGATGCACTTTTCCATTCAAACTGAGTATTTTTAGATGTGTGACAGACCCAGTTTGTCCTCTCTGTTTCCATTAGGCTGCTTGTGATGTCAGCGAGCACTGAAAATACCAACCGTGTCACACAAACGGTGCAAGCAGAAAGTTTGGAGCGGCAACACTCACACCATCTGACTAATACGAGCACTTAAAAATCAAACACGGTGGAAGTTAGTGTTTAAACAGAAAAATAACAGCGTGAGTGTGTGCAGGAAGTGAAGTATAGTTAATGTGTTTTTCACACAGCTGCCGAAATCCTGTTTTAAATGCAGAAGAAGAAATCACTGCAGGCTGTGTGTTTGTGTGTGTGTGTGTGTGTGCGTTTGTTCGTCCTCTGACTGTGAACAACAGGTACTGTTGTGGCACAAGAGGGTTTGAGTGTTTGGATTTAAATGTCAATTGTAGCTGTGTGGGCTGACTGCATTGTACAATGGATATAGTAACAGTATAATCTGTTCTGTATTTGTGACTGCTGTGTATGTCTGTGTATGTCTAGCTACAAATACAGTAGAGCTGCAACAATTAATTGATCAGTTGCCAACTTTTACATTGATTGCCAACTATTTTTATAATTGAATAACTGGTTTGAGTATTTTTTAACACTTAACCATCAAAAATGTTTCTGAAGCTTCTTACGTCTGATTTATTTATTTATTTATTTTTTTGTGGTTGGACATTTTATAGGCCAAACAACTAATCAATTCGTCTAAAAAATAATTGGTGGATTAATCCACAATGGAAAGTTACAGACCAAATACACAGCGATGTGATTTTCATTAAAGTACAACCACGTTCTTTGTATTAATTAACTGTGTGCTGCAAGTATTTGCATTTGCAAAAATTTTTCCAAGGATGTGAGCTTACATAGGTCAATGGCTGAGGCTCATTAGTTCGGTTTGATTTGTACTTATTTTCACAGAGTTAAAAAAAAAGGGGACCAGTTTTTATGACCCACAAAATCCAGTTTCAAGCACAGCCCTCTGAGTGATCAAAAGGCTGAAGAATAACAGGAAAAAATGCAAATAAGCTCCCTATTGTCACCAGAATTTTCCCAAAATATGTAATAAAAGTAAATAAATAAGCACTGTAAATTAAAGAAACTGGAGAGCTGCTAATTTTATTTTAAATATCTGATTTTTTCACATCTTTGTCAGATTCTTATTTTAAATCCTACATATTTTTTGAGTTACTAAAAAAAAAAAAAAAAAACCCTAATGAATTCATGTATTTTCTGTAGGCATGAGGCTAATTCAGGTTATCTGTTAGTGATGAATTTAAGGTGTGAATTACTGATTAGATTTTTTTTTGTGTGTGTGTGAAATGAAGTGGGCTCCACTCACTTACTACTGAGTTATTCCATCTCAAATCATCAGGCTTGACCATCTCTGATTTGCTTGAAAATATTCATTCATAAACTACAAATATTTGAAGTGATACCTGTGAAATATTCAATATTTTTTGATCTGTACTATTATGGCATGCAACTACTGGTACATATGGTTCAGAAAATATCACTAGGTCACATTTCCTTTGTTAATGTGTGCTCAAAAATGGGACTTTTCATGATGGCTGCAATTTCTTTCATATTTCAACTCACCTATAATCAGAGGCTATTTGATCCACTTGTTCAATATTGCAGATTCTGAATCAATGACATAATGAGAAATAACAAGGACAATTTCAGGCTTGTATCTTTAATAGTTCCTGAGATATAACTGTTCAAACATAGCCTCAAATTTTAACTCACGAAAAAAGCGTACCTAAAGTTGTTTGACGGGCAACTTAAAAAACAAAAAAACAAAAACAAACTTATCTCAGAAAGTATTTGCTATATCAAGGTAAAATTCCACAAATATCGTTACCAGTATCCATATTTTACGCAAGAAAAAATAAAAAAATCAGGCAAATGAGAGACTTCTTCTAAAATTTTGATGATTTGAGATGGAATAACTCAAATGCATTAGTACCAATCATCTGCTACTATATAACAACAACAACAACATCATCAACAATAATAATAATAACAGCATACTATGAACTGCTGTGAACATCTTAGCTACTTTTGTCAGTTTAGTTGGGTTTGGTGAGTTTCCTTTTGCTTTTTTCCCAACATTTAAGATGCAGAAAACCTGCTGAAAAAGAATATTTGAACATTAAGGTACGTCAAAGTGTCACTGCACCTGATCCTCTCGGAGTCGGACGGGTGAGGCATGTGCGTCCACGCCGCCTCCTCCATGGCCTGTTGGTAGAGCTGGTCTTTGGACAGGGGAACCGGCCCCAGCGGACAGACCCCCAACGAAGGGGGGATGCTGACCTCCGACAGCGAGGGCTGAGGTGCTGAGGGGGGACCCGAGGGGGCCGTAGTGCTGCTGGGGAAGATGTCTGAACCAAGCGAAGATGAGAGTGCGGGGAATAAAAGGAAGGAAGGGATGAAAGGGTGAGGGAAATTGAGGATGTAGGGGAGTGAGAGGTGATTCAGGATTTGAAGTTGGAGAGACAAAGAGCGAGAAGTTGAGTCAGGGATGATAATATCATCAGCAGTTTTTTTGTTCAGAGGAGGCTGAGTGTGGGAGGTGAGATGACATTTTGTTCCATTAAACTACAGCTTTTCTATTTCGGCACTGTGGCAACCCTCTATCTGCTTCTATTAAGGTGTATACGTGTGTGTGTGTGTGTGTGTGGCTGTATGTTACCTGGGGTGAGGTGCAGGGAGGGTACGTCTCCCTCAATCCCTGAGCTGAGTGCTGCTCGCTCGGCCATGGACTTGAGGCTGCTCAGAGGCTCCTGGGGCTGATGAGGACAGACAAGGAGACTCATGGGAAAACAGACTCTCCCGGACGTGTGCACACGGCAAGCGTACCTGCCCGAGTTCCTGCACCACTGGTGATGTTGTCATGGAAATCACTCTGACTTCACTTTTTGGGCTGTTTGTTTTGTTTGCTCCGGTGCCTTCCCTCCAAAAGATGCATGTGACATATTGTCAAACTAAATGATGGAGACCGGGAGTAAAAACAGTGCAGCCATGTGGACGTTTTGAAAGCTTTTCATGGTCGAGCCGTACGCCTTTGTATCAGTAAAGCAAAATCTTAATCCTGCGGCATAAGGTTGTATTATAAACAAGTGTGTATTTCCACCCTTGTGTCAGAAGTTTCCATTTCAGCATGGCAGATGGCCAGATCCACAAACAAATCTTTTTAGTTTGGTGTGGACATGAACTGGGCTGACTAGCCAGGACTTAACACCCAACATGTGTGTTCCTTTCACAAAAAGATCGCACCATACGGCTGCTAGTCAGGTCAATATCAGGTTGAAAGACTTGACTATAGGCTATATAGCACCCATGGTTTTGGAATGAGGTGCATGTAAAGTTGTAATCTAAAGGTGTCCTAATACTTATAGACTTTTAGTGTACCTGAATATTTATCATTGAGTCAACTGATGAGGAAATAAATCCATCAGAAATGTCTTGAAATACAAAAATGTTGGAACAATCTTCTAATCAGTCCTCACTACTTTCTGAACCCAAAACTCAGGTTTGAGAGACATGTTGTATTTACAAAATCACCAAAATAATACATTTGATACATGCATTCAGAAACTCTACAAACAGAAATAATCCTTGGATTTTTCGTTGAGCTACTCAATGCAATGTTCTGTTTGGTTGAGAAACTGAATCAAATCTAAGCCTAAAATCATGATATTTCATCAAAGTCACTTTATTCTACATGTCTCGGAAAAATTCACCAATATATGCTGTTTGTTCGAGTTGTAGGACTTAGTATTGAGAAATGAGCTCACAGTGAGGTAAAATGTGACAGGAGCAAACAAAAAATGCAGAGAAAGTGCTTGGAGTTCGAACATTAAAGCAAAAATATAGTTTAGTTACATGAGGATGAATACATAAATTAAGCTCTCTATTAAAAAATGGCTTTTGTGCTTCCTGTCCTATATCATCTGTACCTAAGAAGGAGAAGAGGCCTGTATCACCACCTGAATCTTGATTGTGTTTAAGTTGAGTTTAAAGTGAATTCATCTTTGCTTTGACAATTAAATCTACACACTATAACACACTAATTGACTTTTTGCCCCCCCAAAATACATAAATCATCAAACTGTTGAGATCTGATGACTTTGCTGTGTCTCTCCAAACTGAGCTTAAGTACATTCAGCAATTGAAGCCCAACTGTGGCAAATTTAGTTGGTGACTTAGAAAGGCTCACATCTCTAAACGTATAGTCCCAAGATTACACAGTGAATGCCAGAAAATTACTGTACTTTTAGCACATTATAAATTAAATCT